GGCAGGAGACAGCGCCGTGGTGATTCTTCGGTGGCTCTGGGCTGGGATGCAGCCTTCTGCCGCCTGCAGAGCCACGCAGCCTAAGAGCCGAGGTGGGCGGCAGAGCTCAGGTGCAGCCGGGCATGGGCGCCTGTGTTGCCGGGGAGGTGGGACCTGTGCTCCCGGTGCTGTCCACCGGCCACTCGCTGCCCCTGAAGCAGGAAGCTGGAGGTCACCAGGAGCGAGGGCAGTGCCACCGAAGGCAGTTTGTAGGTCGGCACGTGGTGGCCAGGTAGGAGTTGGGCGTTTAACAATGAGAATCCAGGCTGACCCAGAAGCCAGTGTGGGCTGCCTGTCCCCTCTTGCTCTGTCAGTGCCACAGCGACCAGTGGGTTAGTGACCAGGCTGCAGAAAGCATTTAATAAGTGGTGGCTGTCCCCATCGCCAGACACCCCAGGACGGAGTTCGGGAGAAGGGACGGGGTGGGGGGAGCAGGCCCCACCCTGCCCCTCGAGTGGCCAGGACTGAACCGTGCAGAGCCGAGTCTTGGCCACTGGGCAGTAGCCTCGGGTGTCTCCAGCCCTGCTGGTCGGCCAAGGACACTAGGGGGTGCTTCCCAACGGGAAGGAGGTCCAGGTGCCCTCAGCCCCTCGGGCAGCAGAAGGGGGAGCAGCAGGTGTCGGGGTGAGTGGCAGGTGCACGCCCTGGGTGTTCCCATTGCTCAGAGGAAAGTAGGGGAGGGCAACGCCTCTGTCCTCCCCTCCAGGGCTGCAACTTCAGGTCCAAAGACCAGGCTGACTCCTGCTGCCCCCAGTGATGGCTGCTGCTCAGTTCCTCCTCCGCCCAGAAGGGAAGCTCCCACAGCCCTGGGAGCAAAGCCATGCCACACCGTGTGTTCCTCTGGATCCTCCCAGGACTGCCCACGCCTCTCACACTTCCTGGCACACGGAGCTCATGAAACCCGGAGAGGTCTGCTCCCGTTCCCCCAGTGCCGTGTTCACTGGAAAGACCAGAGGCATCCGATGGCCTGGCAGCCAGGTGGCGGAGAAGGGAGCCTCAGTGTGTGAGCAGCCAGGGCCCCGTGGGCTCAGCATGCAGATGTCAGGTGGCCCGGGCAGCAGCATCTCCAGTGTTTGCTTTGCTTGTGTTCTCAGCCATATGGAGAGTATGTTTTATACAGCCCTGGTAGGGGAAAAAAACTCAACAGAATCATCCTACTTATTGAAAATGGAACATTTCCCAGCATTTTTAAAAAATACAGGGCCGGGGATTTAGCTCAGTGGTTTTGTCGCCTGGTGCGCAAGCACAAGGACCTGAGTTCAATTCCCCAGTACCAAAAAAAAAAAAAAAATACATGAGTCCATTGTGGGGCAGGTGAGGTGGCACATGTCTATCATCCCAGCACTCGAGAGGCTGAAGCAGGAGGATCACTGTGAGTTCAAGGCCAGCTTGAACTCTGCATAGCAAGACCTTGACTCAAAAACAAAACAAAACAAAAGAGTCCATTATGGTAGTAACTTGCAGGGTCTTGTCTTAAGCCACACAAATACATTTTCTCTTCTGGTTCCTGAGAAGTGCATTATTAAAGCAGGGCCGTTTCTCTAACAATGTCACTTACCCACATGACAGAAAAGGAGAGCAGTAAGCCGTGCCCTTCTGTCCCACCCCACTGCATTCTCTTCCCCAGGAAGCAGAAGCTGCTGGGAAAGCAGTCTGATCAGATTCGCCGTCAGCTCCAGCCTCACTGGTTAAAATGTGTTAAGTGTGCGGATCAGCACGGTGTCTGCTCTCTGCAGCAGAGCAGTTGCTGGGAGATGGAAAGTCCAGGTGGGGCAGGGAGACCTGAGCTCCAGCTCCTGTGTCTCCACAGAAGCCCTGCTGTGCTGGTGTCTGGACAGGGACCGCCCACGCAGGACCCCTTTGGCTCTGAGCTTCCACAACAGCTACTAAGGAAGGGCCCTGTGTTGCAAGCAGTCAGTACGTTGTGCAGACCCTCGGTTGTTGGATCTTCTCAGCTTGAGCTCCCCGCCACAGTTCACAGAACAAAACACTTCTAGGTGGGTCGAATGGTTCTAGCAGTGTCTGTTAGCATCTCCCAAATGAGCTGCGATCCAGAGTCCCCCAAATCCCCACCAAGGGGCTGGCTGTGGAAACCTGGGCTTCTGCTGGCCCCTTGGAGGGGACCTGTGGGTGACAGGACAAACAGGAGGGAGCAGTGCATTCGCCTCTGCACACCCTGATATCAAAAGGCCCTCTGGCAAAATCCCAGGAATCGTTTAACCGAGGGAGAATGACTGGGCAGCCCAGTGGGGCTCTGGGTTAGGTGATCACATGGTAATGGATCGCATGATGTAGATGACTTGCTGTTTCACCCTCCACCTCCAGTTCAGCTCTTTCCACACTTGGCACTCTGCGTGGCCTTGGGAAAACAGCTTTTCCACTGCTGGGTCTATGCAGTTGGAAACTACACATGGATTCATTTACTCACTCATTCATCATTCATTCATTCATTCATTCATTCAGTGGGTTGCTCATTACCACGTGCCAGGCCCAGGACACCTGGTTGCAGTCCTCCAGGGGCCTGGAGTAGCGATTCTCCCACACACCCTTCCGTGTGGAGGAGGGGCTCAGAGGGTAAGGCCCAGCCCTCCTCCCCATGTGGCAAAAAGTCCTCTCATCTGAGCACCCTGCTTTTCCCCTACAGTTGTTTTAGAAAAGGAAAAAAAAGGCCAGTCAGCAGATACTTATCATGGACCGGACCCCTGTAATCTGGGTGCACATCCCGGGCTTTGGGAGCTGGCTGTGTCATGGCAGTGGTGCAGGGTGGACCATGCAGCCAGGGCAGCAGCTTGGCGCAGAGGAAAGAGCTCCCTCAAACATCCCTGAGCCTCCCCAGTGGATGAGGAGCTCTCAAGGAAAAGGGGTGCCGCCTTGGTGCTGTCACCACAGAGACCCACGTCTGTAAAAAGGCAAATGTTGTGAATAAGCATGTTCTGCAGACAGGCGAGCTGACTGGATGCGTAGCCAGCAGCCCATTTCCGAAGGCCTTTAACCAAATCGGGTGTGGCGTGGGTTGAGAACAGCTACTGACTGTTCAGGTGCTGGGCCTGGGGGCTCTTGAGCAAGGGACGGACTTGCCCTGCAGATGGCTGTCACCCGTGTTCAGAGGCAACTCCAGGACCAGTGCAACACAGCGCTGTTGAGGATGAGAAAGACTGAAGAATGCCCTCCTACCTGTCGGGGCACTGGCTACCTGAGTGACATCCATACAGCTGTAGTAACTCATATTTTAAACAGTGTTTTTCTGAACTTGGGAAAGAACTCCAAGTTGTATTATGAAGTGGGAAAATCAAAGTGCCAAACAGCACATATGAACTGTCTGCTAGTCTGAGGCTGTGTAGACGCCGCTGCTACTTTGCCCAGATTTGGGTAGAACCAAGGAGGTGTGAGAAACTGATTACATTGGTTGCCTCCAGAGACAAGAACTAGGAGGCAGAGATAGGAGGGAAACTGTTGTCTAAACAACCTTTTATACCTTTTGCATTTTGATCAATAACTAAAAATATGTTTAAAAGTAATGCTCAGCTGAGGACACAGCTTAGTGGTACAGCTCTTGTCTGGGGTGCAGGAGGCCCTGGGTTTGATCCCCAGAACTGAAAAAAAATTAGATTTTACCAGCCTGGAGTGCTGAGAGGACAGCGGGAGAGTGGCAAGTAGACTAACTTCAATGGGCGTCTCAGTGCACCAGGTCTCTGGCTGGATGCTCTGGGGGTGACAGCTGTGTCTGTCCCATCTTTACGCCCAGGCTTTGGGAGGCTGAGGTACTGCCTGTCTGTCGGGGTCGTTCCCTTGTGGGGCAGCACCTGAAATGGCAAAGCCAAAGAGGGGTACGTGGGGCAGCGCTACCTGCTTTAGGTCCCCTCATTGCTGCCGCCTGTGTCTGGGCCCCTGGCGCCAGGAGGTAGAGACGCCCCAGTTAGCTCCAGGGGCCAGGCCTGTTGTGTTCGCAGGGCTCCTGCTGAGCTCAGGGATGGGGTTGGAAGTCTGTTGACAGCCATTCAGAGGACACCGAGCCAGTGGTCACTTTTGTGGCTGGAGGAAAATACCTCTGAGCTCCTGCGCTGGGTGTCAGATGTACCTCCTAGTCTGCCAGCTGGAGGCTGGCTGGAGAGTTGTTTTTCTGATGGTTAGACTCAGGCTCCTCACTTGCACTTAGAGGAAAAAGCATCCAAGCCCTGGTACAAAAGGTCCTCTTTGGAAGAAGCAGTGAATGAGCTCATTATCGCTGTGGCCCAAGCTGGAGGTGGGGAGGAGGAGAGACAGCTCCTCCTCACAGCCTGGTCCTGCCCCGGCCAGGTTTCCTGGGGTGGGGGGCGATCAAAGCCAGATGGCGGAGCCAGGTGTCCACATAGGGGACAGCGCTGGGGACATCTGGCTGCCTCGGGACTGGCTGTGTCTGCTGCGGGCCAGGGTAGGGGTGAGTGTCTGCTCCTCTTCTCCCTACAGCGCAGAGCTCCATGCAGTGCTGCGGCCTGCGGGCAGCAAAGGGCGTCCAGCTGGGGCTGTGTGGCTGCCAAGGGTGCCCGTGTGCAGTGCTCTGCTGGTCTAGCCTGGGAGCTGGCGGCCGCAGTGTCATCTATCTGTCACCATTTGCCAGGCACCACTCTAGGCGCTCAGGGTGTAGCATGGAACAGAGCTGGCAGCCTCTGCTCGCAGGGCATGTCCGCTCCCGCACAGGCAGTGGAACACGCCGGGTCTGGCCTGCCCGCGCCCGCTGCCCATTTGCGCCCACTGGAGTGATAGATGCCCGGAAGGGGAGGCTCTTCGGCACTTGCAGCCCCTGGGCTGATTGTCAGTGCCACGCTCCCTTCAGAGCTGGGCACCGACAGCAGAGAGTTGGGGCCCCTCACAGGGTGCAGCTGGACCTGGGAGTGTCTGAGAGACCAGCAGGCAGCCCGGGTGGCCCTGCTGGTGAGCTGGTGACATCAACCCAAGCCTGACGCCTCTCCTCCTCATTTCAGATTGAGAAGATCATGAGTTCCATTGGAGAAGGGATCGACTTTTCTCAGGAACAGCAGAGGATCTCAGGTACCGTACCCCGCAGCCACCTCCCCGGAGCCCAGACCTCTGGCTCTCCCTGCTTGGGCTTCCCAGACACGGAGGGGAGTCGGCAGGGCTGTGTGGCCGCACCTTCTCGGGTGCTCTTCCAGCCAGTGCCATATCGCCCTCGCCATGGTGCCCTCGTACACTGGGGGAGTACACAAATTAAATGGGGGCCGCCTGGGAAAAACATCTTAATGAGCAGCTGTCACTTGCTCATCATTTTTATAAATGTAGGCTTTGTCAGGTTGGCCCCGTGCTGGTCTGCCCAGCTCCTGGGGGCAGAGTCGGAGTCGGGAGGACCAGTGGTCTCAGCCCATTCACGTGCTCCAGTGTCGCCTCCTGTCCCCTCACCCACCGTGTGTCCAACCCTGCTGCTGTGGTCATTCATGGCCCAGCCCTGGGGTGACATCCATCTCTGCCTCTGTGTGACATGGGGCTGCCCAAGCCCTCAGAGCTAGGCCACCTTGGTGACAGGGCTGTGCCCTGTCTTTCTCCGGGGAGGGGATGTTCATAGAGCGCCTCTTGGAGCAGCCTTTGCCCCGCCGGAGCATCTGGCCAGAGCACACCACCCGGAGGAGTCCGCTGTCCCCACTGATGAGCATGCATCGTCGGGACACACCTGGCAGCCTCATGCCACACCTCCGGGTCCTTCATAGGTTTCTACGGCCTGGCAGGGAGTCTGATATGTGGGGTGTGGTGTTCACATCTGGGAGAAGGGAACTCCCAAAGCTGGAGCCTCAGCCCTGGGCTCAAGTCTGGGCTCTAGATGCACACATGCACCTCTTGTCATCGCCTCATCTCAGCGAGCCCTGGCCCCTCATCTGTAGCACTTGATGATAGTACTGAGCTCACGGGGCCGTTACTGAGTGAGAGAAGAGATGCTGCATAGGTAGCGGCCGTGCCCGTGTCTGTCCCTAGGTCGTTACTTGCTCACATTGAGAAACCTAGAGAACAGGACACCTGCTCCCTTGCCTGTCTCTGTCCCCAGCTTCTCAGTCTTGGCCCCTCCAGGTCCATGTTTCCCTGGGGTCCAGCAGAAGGGCCTGACCTTGTCTGTCTGGGGCGAGGCTGCCATCCACAGAGCTGGCTTCTCTGGCTCAGAGCTTGGACCCGTTCCGCTGTCGAGCAATCACACTGTGCTTGGTTCGAAGGCTCTCCCAAGCATCGGGCGTTGAGAGAGGTGTTTAGGACTGAGCGGTGCTGCGTTCAGAGTTGTGCATTGGGGTCATCAGTTCAGTAGAGGCCACCTTCTGCCCTGCTGGCCCCTCGATGTCCAGGGAACAGGACAGAAGTACGTGCATGGGTGTGAGAGCTCGGACCCTGTAGAGACCACTGCTTGGGTGTGGGCCATCCAGAGGTGCAGCTCCCGGAAGAGCTGCTCAGAGGGAGTTGGCATTGAGCTCTTCTTGTCTGCCCGTCCTTGTCCTCATAAACCCATAGGAGGGCGACAGGGCTGCTGTGTGGTGTCTGGACCCCGCACAGTCTCGTGCGAGTGCTCATCTTGCTGAGCTGCCCTCGCGCTCCAGCATGGAGCAGTGCCCAGTGGGTAGGTACAGCCAGCGCCCTAACAGAGGGCTTCCCAGCATGTGGCTGAGCCCTGCTCTCCGGGGTCTGCACTGCTGCCAGGCCGAGAAGCACGGAGAGATGGGCCAGGGAGCACACGGTGGCTGGCCGGACTGAAGCAGAATTACCGTTTCTTCAGAGTGGTCAGCAGATTCAGTTGTCCTTGGTCTCAGGATCGAGGAGGAGAGGCGGGGTCCTGGCCGCTGGGAGGAGACATGGGCCCTCTGGCAGGTGGTGATGCTGCTCAGCTTGGCCAGCTGTGCAGAGGGTCCGCCTGTGAAAGGCAGGACCACCACGTTCAGGTCCTGGTCCCGTGTTGAGGCCCCTGGGACCCCAGCACTGGAGCAGGTTACCCGAAACCCAGGCAGCTTACAGCCAACCCATCTGTCCTCAGCTACTGAGACAGGAGGGTGCAGTTCCCACCGGCCCAGCCACCCTGGCTTCTTCTCAACAGAGCCTGCTCTGTCAAGCAGAAGAGAGCTGCTTAGCTCTTGTCTGCCTGAGCCAGCCTGCTTTCACCATCCTGTGGCTTCAGAATGCAGGATCCATGGGGTCCTGGTCTCCCCGGCACGGAGCCCTTTCCTTGGCGGTACCTGTAGGTTCTCCTGGTGTTTAGAGGCTGTGCGCTCCCTGGACCCCTGTGACCTTTCTGCAGCACTTGGGGCTGGCCCTGGTCTCCCTCGGTCTTGGATGGTCCCGCCCCTGCTGCCTGCTCCAGACTGGGAGCGACCTGCCCTGCCCCATGGTGGCCGGAGAGAAGTCTGTCCGCCTGCTGTTTGGCAGACTCACCTGAGGAGCGGCAGGGGCAGTGGTTTTATGGCTTTGCCTGGATTCGTGGTAAGAAGCACAGTACTCCCAGAAGTGGTATATCGGCATACTTACCTGAAGGCTGTGTCCTTGGGGCAGTGTCATTCCTCTGTCCCCTCCCCTGCCTGTCCTGGAAACTGTAGGCCAAAGCTAGAGGAGGGGCCCTCCCCTGTTCCAGCCCCTTGAGCCGGGACGAAGTGTCCTTGTCCCCTTTACACGTGCGTCTGTATCGCCAGCACCAGACACTGGGAGATCTGTCGTCTCGCCCCAGGCTGCCGCTGCTGTCTCCTCCTCCCTCAGCAGGGGCAGCAGCGGCTTTGGATGGCTCGGGTGTCCATCCCTGATGTATTTTCCTGAGCACAGGGGGGAGGGAAAGGGGAGGGCCAGGCACCGGGTGAGTGAGCGAGGACTGTGGAGCCGGCAGCAGGCAGCAAGAGCCCGGGAGCCTCAGACAAAGCATTCCGCTGCGGTTCCCCAGCCGCACGTCACAGGCGGCAGGACCACAGCGCCCAGCCGGGATTACAAGCAGGAATGAATCAGCTGCTGGGGCCGCTGGACCTCAGGAGCAGCGGAGAGCGGCCGCTTAGCTCCCTGGAGCCGACGTCCCGCGCCAGGGTGGGGTCTCCGGGAGCCCCAGCCTAGCCTCTCCCTCTCGTCTCTGAGCGCCACTGCAGCCCGCACCCGGAGCCACCCGGGTCCCTGGCCGCCAGCAGTTCTGCGGAGACCGAGGTCGGGGCGGAGGCTGCCACCGTTGGTCGCTGGGGTCTCCTAACCGAGCGAGTGGCCATTGCCCTGCGCTGAAGGGCAGACCGTGCCTGGGCGGCAGGACGGCTCGCCGTGCCAGGAGTTCGCTGGAGGTGACGTCTTTGTAGTTGGCTCTTCTTTGCCCTTCCTTGCGCCTCTTTTCCTCCTTTTACCTCTTGCCTGCGAGAACCCGAGAAGTAGGTGGGGGTGAAGGCATTCAGCTCGGAGCATCCGGGGGCCCCGGCAAGGGCTGAACTTTATCCTCCCTGCACCACCACAGTCCCTGTCCTGACCCTGACCGAGGAGAGGAGCACAGCAGATTCCCGCCGTGCCCACGGCAGAGGAGCCCGTGGGGTTCCGGAGAGCCAGAGGACAGCTGTGTCTTTATCGCCAGCCGGGGAGAAAGCACAGAACGTGAATGGACTTAAGTGCACCATGCAGCCGGCGGAGGACCCTTCCTTTCTCTTATCTGGTGGGGTTTTGTCTTCTTTGGCCAAGAACTGACTCTGCCGGCCTGAGCGGGCGGGCGGGCAAGGCCCAGGAGCAGCCACTGTGAGGAGGAGAGTGCAAGCCCAGACAGGCAGCTCTCCAGCCGGAGCCCTGGCCCCGGAGACGCCCTGCTCGCCGGCCCTCTGAGTCTAGTGTGGACGGCCCAGCCCCGCTGGCTGCAGCTGAGCAGAAGGCGATGCCGCTGCCCCAGCAGAGCCACACCTGAGCCTGCACCCCAGCCTGGCCCAGCGCCCACTCGGCCCCTTGCTGCCTTGAGCCCCTGAGCACAGGGCGGGGACCATGGTTTGCCTGTTCCGAGACTGCTGGGGGAAAACAAGTAAAAGTCTCTCCTGCCCCTGCCGTGTCCTGTGCTGCTTGCGTTGCATGTGCTGGGTCCCTGTGAACAGCTGCCACCACTTCCTTCCCAGAGCCCTCGCTGTGTGCCTGTGTCCCTCAGCTGCATGAAGACGGGTGCTCTCTCCTGACCGGCTTATGCTGCAAGGTCGCAGGACTTGCCCCTGGTCACCACCCCACGGGGCCTGAAGTTGCATGGATGAGAGGAGTGGCCAGGCTTGCAGGCTCTTGAGAGCCCCTCTAGTGCCCGTGGGGACCAGCTGTCTGCAGCGCTTGCCTCAGTGTGCCCACTGAGGAGTGGACCCGGCGACTGGGGACGCAGGGGTGAGGTGGCCCCAGGTGGGGCAGCCGTGTGCAGCGCCGGGCGCCTGACCTTGGCCTGTGCACGGAAGAGGCACTGCGTGTGCGCTGCTCTGGTCTCTGGTACATAGTTGGGCTGCTTTATGGTAATGACGATGATGTGGCAGTGCCATCTGTCTTCCTCTGAGTGCCGCTGCTACCGCCTTAACAGTTTTTCCCTTTTCAAGCGTCTGCCGATTCCTCTCTCGTCAGGTTCGCGGAAGCTGGAGCAGAGCGTCGGAGAGTGGCTGGAGTCTCTCGGGCTGCAGCACTATGAGAGCAAGTTGCTCCTGAATGGCTTTGACGATGTCCGCTTCCTGGTAAGCGCCCAGGCCCCGGGTCCCGGCCCTGCTGCAGCTGACACCACATGTAGGCCTGTCACCCAGGGAAGCGTTGACGGGCACCAGAGAAGCCAGCCGAGTGTCCTGTGCCTTCTCGGGAGGGTCCCTCCCTGCCCCTCATGCCTCGGACCAGGCACAGCGCGTGAGGCTTCTGCGCCCGGGGACAGCAGGGGCAGGGGTGCTGTGGTGACTCCATGTCCCACCCTGGGATGCCGGGACTTCCCTCGCTCCCTAAACTTCTCTGGCAATGAGTGGTCACTGAGGCAGGGGCTCCTTCCCTGCCCACCGAGGCCAGGTGCCGGGGTAGAGGCCATGGCAGCATGGCCTCTGTGCTCCCGGGGCAGAAAGAAAAGCAGAGAAAGGCTGGGCTCAGGGTCCAGTGTTAGCTGGAAGTGGCCCGGGCAGGGCGCCATCTCCGAGCCTCTCCCGGAAGCCCTGCCTGGGGCGCCCTCGTGGAGCGGCCATGGCAGCACAGCCAGGCATGAGGCGGAGCAGAGGGCAGCTCACAGAGCCAGCCAGTGTCCCCGGGGCGGGCCCTTTAGTGATGGCCGGGACAGCAGTGCATCTGCTGGTGCTCACCGTGGGAGCTGCCGTCCTCAGAGCTGTGCATGGAGCCGCTCAGTGACCTCCAGCGGTCTGGGGTCGGATGGATGTTTCCAGACCCTTCTGCCCCACGAGAGAAGTGAGGTGCAGCAGTGACATGGCTCTCGCGGGCCCAGGGTCACGCTCCGATCCGTGTCACAGCGCCCCTTCTGTGGGCACAGGCGCTGGGCGGAGCACACCACCGAGGTCACCTGGCGTGACTCCTGGGAAGCCGGGTTTGAGGTGAACCTGGTGAACCCCGCGGCCCTGCTCTGCCTGGCTCTGGGGAAGCCTGTCCCTCACTGTCCCTGTGCCCGGTGCAGGCCCCTCTGCACCAGCACCTCCACCCGGCCACCTCACTGGAGACCAGGGTCTGCTCCCGTCTGCAACAGACGCCCTTACGCCCCGCTTCCCCAGTCAGCGCGAGGGCAGCTGTCTTTCAGCTTTAAAAAAAATTGGTTTTAAAATAGCAATTCATTTTCCTTCTTTTAAGTTAAACTGAGTATATTTATGGTTCCTGTGACCTAACCCCTGACTCACCGTGTTCTTTGAGGGAGGATGACAAACCGCAGCAGAGGCGGGGCTCAGCCAGCGAGCAGGAAGGGAGCATTTTGTCACCAAAACTCTGCTCCTTGCGCGTGGTGCCAGTTCCCTTCTGGCAGCTGTGTTCTGCGCCCCTGCGGTGTGGTTTTCCATAGCCGTCAAAGCAGTGCCCTGGAGTCACCGCTCCCAGATGTGGGGCAGCTCCAGATGTGCTGCTGTGGAATTTCCCTGTGACAGGAAGGAGACCTCTAGCTTGTGCTTCATAGCTCGCTCTCGTGGTGAGGCCACTTGAGCATCCTGTAATCCGGTAGTCCTCCATGCCTGGATTCCTCTCAGATAATCTCAGCCATGATGGTTCCGGTGACAGAGGATTCGCTACATTACCAAGCAGTGGCCCATTCGTTGGTTCGTTCCTTGCACTGCACTGGTTGATTTTTTTGGTTGCTTGTTTTTGAGACGGGGTCTCACTATATCACCCAGGCTGTTCTCAAACTCCTAGGCTCAAGTGATCCTCCTGCCTCAGCCTCCTGAGTCACTAGCTGGGCCTGCAGGTACGCTATGGTGCCCGGCTGTGCTGGCTGATTTCGAGCGTCTGTTATACTGAGTCAGATCTCTTTTCTGTGTGCCTTGTCCTAGGTTTGCCTGTGGGCCCACACATTCAGGTTAGGTCCTGTGGAACTTGAAGCCCTCCTGGGCCCACCTATCTGAGCTCAGCGCTGCCTAGCTCTTGGCTGTGCCTCTGTGATGCAAAGGCTGAGTTTGGCAAGAACCCATGCAGCTCCACCTTCACCCGCACCACCCGCTGGCCTGCAGCGGGAAAGGGCCTGGTTTGGAGGGCTGGAGTGGGCGGTGGGGCCCACACCTGAGTGCAGCCCCACCCCGCAGACCTTGTCCACAGGAGTGGCTCTCTCGGGAGAAAGGCAGGCAGGCGTGGAGTCGGCAGGCATGGAGGAGGCTGCCAGCTGGGTGGTGGCCGTGCAGCTGCAGCCCGGGCGCTCTCTGGCCCCTCTGAGGTATAGCGCACGCATGGCTGGTCTCGAGGCTGGGTGTCAGACCTGGGGCTCCATGCTGTCAGGGCTGCCTGGCGTGGGGACTCACTAGTGTGTCCAGTGGGACGGGAAGTCCCTGCAGTGTGATCTCGGCACAAAGCACAGGGCCCTGCCTGGGAGGTGCAGGAGCGAGCCGGGCAGTTCCAGGGTTCTCTCCGGTGGCTTCCCCTTGCCTTCTGGAGCATAGTAGGTTTTCTTCTCCGCCTCGTGTGAATGGGTGTGAAAACAGAGCAGCAGATGACCGAGGTTAGGTTAGGGTCCAGCTGGGAAAACAGACCTCCTAAAGCAATAAAGACTGTGCAGCAGGGAGGAGGAGCAGCAAGGAGCCACAGGCAGGGCAGCCCAGACCCTGGGCGGGGAGGCGCTGGAGGCCGGCCTGACCCTGAGGTGGGGTGGGCAGAGAGAAATGGAAAGGAGCCCTGCACAGGTGGGCCGGTGGGGACAGAGCTGCCACAGGCCACTCCCCGGCTCTCTCCAGGCTCTGCCCCCCGCCGAGCTCCCGTCTGCTTCCTTCCAAGAGGGCTGACAGGTGGTGCAGGGGGCGCCCTGACCCTGTAGCCAGGCCCCTGAGCCCTGTGGTCCCTTGCCGTTCCTGCCCCCAAGCTGGCTCCTTGCTCCGCCCTCCGCCACATCCTGTGACCGCGCCCCTGCCACACCCAGCAGAGGTGCCATCCAGTGCTGTCCTCTCCTCCGGCCACGGCCACCAGCTCTGCAAAATGCTGCAGGAGCCAGCTGCTGTGTTGGGCCTCTGTGTGCCCGGCTGACGGCCTGAGGCAGGAGGACCGCCAGGGCAAGCCGTGGGGTGGAGCCCAACTGCTCCGGTCTCCCTGGGCCTCCCTCGGCTCCAGAGCCCAGGATGGGGACAGCTGTGTCATCTCGGGGTAGAGGCAGGCTCACCCCAGGCCCCATCCCGGGAGTGGCCCTCTAGGCCTCGCCCTGCCTGCTCGGGGACTCGGGAGCCTGGCACAGCTTCGGCCTTTGCCAGTGCCCTGGATGCCAGAAGAGTCGGAGAACTCTTAGGAGTGCTGTTGTCACCACTGCCAACTTGCCCAGCCACACTTTAAGGTGGAATTGGGTGGCAGCTCCTTCCTGCTCCAGGCTCCTGGTGGCTGACTCCTTGGCCCAGAATGTCCGCTGCTCGTTTACCCAGCCTCTCACTTCACGTACACAGAAGGTGGTCCAGGGCCTGGGGCAGTGGCACCCATCAAAGCCGTAGAGCTGACACATCAGTCACTTGTAGTCCAGGGTTTGGGTCCCGGACCTCCCTGAAGCCATCTCTGGGCTCCTGCAGGCCACGGACTCCAGACGGGCTCTGAATTTCTCCATCTGCCAAAGGCTGTTCCTACGCAGCTGGCAGAGCTGGGCCTAGAAGCAGGGTGCTCTGGGGCTAGGATGATGTCCCTGTACCTCCTTCCTGGAAGCCGCTGCCTCTGCGGCCACTCTATGGAGCCTGAGCAATCTGTCCTGAGTATGTTGTGCACTGCTGTAGGCCCACAAAGGCACCAGGGCAGCCTGGCCACAGCCACAGATGCTTCTGCCACCTGCTCGCCCAAGGCTTTAGGCAGGGCTCCCAGTTGGGTAAGGGGACAGGGAGAGCTCATGGGTCTGCGTAGTGGCCAGGAGACCAGGCTTCCTCCTGGCTTACCCTGTGACTCTGGGAGGGCGCTCCGCCTCTGCCTGTGCCTCTGTGGTCATATTAATGAGGGTCTCATGTGACCTGCTTCCTCATGGGCCTTAAGCCCCACAGGGGACACACATGGCATCAGGGCCCAAGGCCAGCATTTCTGCGTGAGACTGTGAGGTAGTTTTTCCTCTGAGAGGTGAGTGCACCAGCCTGCAGGAAGCAGAGCAGCTTGTCCCTGCCGATGTCCTCAGGTCCAGGAGGCAGAGCTGCCTCATGTGGTCTTGGACCCAGCAGACCTACACTACTCATCTGGCACCAAGAGCTCAAAAGGAAGATGTTTAGGAAGGGGGCAGCAGGTGAGTGGGGTGGATGCTGTGTCTGGCCACAGAGCGACCTGGGACACCAAACAAGGGCCTCGTAGGGACACTGGGAAGAGCCCCAGGCCCTGTGTTGTTGCCTCCATCCTGGAGAGCCCTTTCCACAAAAGGACAGCTCCCACAAGTCACCCACAGAGGCATCCAGAGCTGGGACTGGTGACTTTCTGCTCCTTGATAGTGGCTGTCACCATTGAGGGAGGACAGGGTCCAGGCAGGGCGAGGCACTTAGGAAAGCAGGGAGCTGTGGGCTACGGGAAGGGCAGCCACCAGCTTTTGGGAGCTGGGTCAGACCTCCCAGAGAGCTGGGCAGCACGGCCAGGCTGCGGGGTGTGGTGTCTGCCCGCGGGCCAGGTTGCACTGCGGCTGTCAAGCACCACGACCAGGTGTCTCACTCCTGCTCACCGGGCCTGTACTTCCTAAGAGCCTTGAGTTACTTCTGGCATAAGGACCCTGTCTGAGCCTGGCAGAGCTGCCCTTCAGAGCCGGGGAGGAAGCCCTTAGCCCTGGTAGGTGAGCTCACACACTTCTTGCTTCCCACTGCCGTGAGGTTGAGGCGAACTAGAGCCTTGTCCCCTGTTTGCTTTCCGTCCCCTCTCTCAGTGTTATTCCAGGGCCAGGCGTTCATGTCCCAGATGCCCAGCCTGGGCCGCACCTGTGTGGTGACCAGGCGCCTGGGGTGGCTCCTGGCTGACACCAGGGCTCTGAAGATGCCCAGCGATGCGCGGCCCAGATGGATGAGCTGGTCACTGCCTGGGACCGCAGGGAATGCGCAGGGCATGGCCAGCGTTGTTAGCAAAGCGGGAG